TAATAAATAACAACAGTTATAATAAGTAACAGTTATAATAAATAACAGTTATCATAAATAACAACAGTTATAATAAATAACAACAGTTATAATAAATAACAACAGTTATAATAAGTAACAACAGTTATAATAAATAACATCAGTTATAATAAGTAACAACAGTTATAATAAATAACAACAGTTATAATAAGTAACAACAGTTATAATAAATAACATCAGTTATAATAAGTAACAACAGTTATAATAAACGGCAGAGAGCAGAGTGTTTGTGCTGCTCAGCCTTTTTCAGGATGTAGGAGCACAACTAATAAAATTCAGGCTCCAAAGAGACGTTAGTGTGTTCACCAGTTTGGACTAACAGTCATGCAGACGCTGCATGCACGATGAATGCAGCTCAGGGTTGCCAGATAAATGTAAAACATCTTATTTACCCCCTCCTGTGCACATGTTCAACAAACACAACACACACCTCGTCTTAGAATATCTTTACTCAGCACATGTGAGTTTAGCTCAAAATACTATAATTTAAAGCCACAGTATTATAGTTTATAATTTCTTATCTGGCAACCTGACTGACATGGAAACTACAGTGCTTTTGTGTAAACCTGCTCATTTTTTGTTTATTATCCCCAATAAACGTTGAAGAAACACTAATGTTTCCAGAGGTTGTTCTGTGTAAACGGGGCCTTATAGCAGGTAGATCAACTTTGACTTGGTCTTTTTAAAAGGAGCTGCAGGATGAAAAGGTCTGGACACTCCTGGTCTAGACTATAAAACTGAGCCACCAAGAACCAAATGATCTTTGGTCCTCAGGTCGGAGGAGATCTTCTGTATGGTCTGGCATTCATGAAAATCTCCAGTAGATTTTTCTGCCGGGTTGATTCTTGAAACTTGAGCTTGTCATTAGAGAGTCAGTTGCCTTCTGAGTCAGTGGAGTCTCTGTGGAGCCACAGGTTTTAGAGCGATACCAGATGACAGCCAGTGGATGAAGCTGGTTTGTTCTGGTACAAACTGTTGCATTGTCTCTGACCAGTTGGCCCTCGTTACTGCCTGGATCATCTGCTGGCAGACACGTTTAGTTAAACTCCAAACTGGTACATTTTCTTTTTATTGTCCTTTACTGTTTTATCTACTGCAAGAAGCCATATGAGATTTTTGCCTGAATGGTCTAATCCTTTTGGTATTTTGAATATTAAATCTGATTTTCAAGCCCAGGATATGTTCCCCGATGAAGTGGAACGTTGGGATTACCCAGCTGTGACTCGGATCACTGCAGTTCACTCACTGAACATGTCAGCCTTCTGAATGTTTCTCTTCTCAGAGGAGAAGCATGTTAAAAGTTACGTTGTGTGCAGGGAAGCCTACCTGAAACACACCACCTGACATAATGTGAGAGGAAATGGGTTAAATGTGATGGTTTTCTTTCTTTAAAGGGTCTCCCCTTCAGTTTGTGCACTGGACTCTGGAAAGACATGAAGCCAGGACCATGTTTAGTAGTTCTAGTTCTTTTTTTACAGGCATGTAAATTCTCAGCTTCAGTGGTGAGTCACAACACATTTTGAGTAATGTATTTGTGTTTACATGTTTTAAACGTGCCTAATAATAAGTCTGAATGCTGCTATATATGGTGAAGATGTGCAATCCCCGTGTACTGTACTGTTGAATGTAATAAACGATTAGACCTTTCTTACATTGGTAAACTGCTGTGGGTTCTTGTTTGTAGTTATCGTTTTGTAACCGTCTTACTTGGTTTGATTTCTTTTTAATGAGAAGCCAGAGTTCTGTCTGAAGATTAATCTGCATCAACAGTTGTCACACAAGCGTACCAGATTTGTATGTGTACAGTAAGATCCACAAGTATACCAACAGTTCTACAAACATGTTCTCCAAGATCCACAAACGCATACACAGCTTTTCAAATCTACATATTTCACTTTATGCTAGGAGAAAATATTCTGCACATACAAATTGTCCAGTACAGTACGTGCACAAATCTGGAGATGAATCAGTCAACACGAGTGCACAAATCAGCCGCCTGTCCATGTGAGACTTTGTCACTGCTCCAGATTCACAAAGGTAATGCTGCGTTCAAGACCGATAAAAAGCTGGGACATCAGGGCGTTACCACATTTACTGAGTTATTGGGAGAAGACATTTCTAACATGGCACAACAGCTCATCACCAGTGCTATGAGCTATTGGGGGTGGACCAAAATTTTGAAT